CCTCGCCATATACGCGGCTATCAAACATTTTTGCCACTTTGTCGAAGGTCGGAAATTCACAGTATATACCGATCACAAGCCACTGACGTATGCCCTCCACACTACTACAGATAGATATTCCCCACGCGAATTGCGTCACTTGGATTATATCTCTCAATTCACTTCGGATATTAGACATATTTCGGGGGCTGACAACGCTGTGGCGGACGCTTTGTCTAGGATATGTACCATGTCGGCGCCTCCAACCATTGACTTGAAACAAATGGCACAACGTCAGCTTACAGAGTTAGATCTTGATAAGCTGTCGTCAAATACCTCCTTACATATCAAGCGTATACCGCTTGTTAATAGCGAGGGTACCATCCTCTGCGATCTGTCCACCGGTACCCCGAGACCCATCGTTCCACCTTCATTGCGCCGTACAGTATTCGATAGCCTCCACAACCTTTCCCACCTAGGTATCCGGGCAACGGACAAACTAGTGTCAGCTAGATTTGTCTGGCCTGGTATCAATCGCGACGTGCGTATCTGTGCACGTGCCTGTGTGCCGTGCCAACGAGCTAAAGTCCACAAACACAACATCACTCCAGTGGGTTCCTTCTCCACATCCGATGCTCGCTTTAGCCACGTACATCTAGGTATAGTGGGTCCTCTACCACCATCAAATGGCCGCTGTTACTTGTTGACATGTGTCGACCGGTTCACTCGTTGGCCAGAAGCTATTCCCATCTCCGATACGACCGCGGAAACCATTTGCCGAGTGTTCATGGAACGCTGGGTAGCTCAATTCGGATGCCCATCTACGGTGACTACAGACCGTGGACAGCAGTTTGAATCAACCCACTTCAAGAAGCTCTTAGAGCTGCTGGGGTGCAAACGCATACGAACAACCGCGTACCATCCAGCAGCAAATGGACTTGTAGAACGTTTTCACCGCCAACTGAGAGCTTCGTTAATGGCTACCGAGAATACTAAGTGGACTGAGTCTCTTCCCCTAGTGCTCCTTAGCATCCGTTCCACGCTCAAAGCAGACTTACAGTGCACCTCCGCAGAGTTGGTGTTTGGTACCACCCTTCGTCTACCGGGTGAAATTATCTCACCGGAAAGTGGTGAGACAACTGTTACGGATGTACAGTGTTATGCTGAGAACCTCAAGCGCCTTATGCAGCGCCTGCAACCAACTCCCACACGCGCACAAAACAAAAGAGTGCAAGTAGATGCTAGACTCGAGGACTGTACACACGTTTTTGTGCGTTGCGACGCCGTTCGTAGACCGTTACAACCTCCTAATGATGGACCATTCAAGGTCGTTTGTAGGAAAGAAAATTTTTTGTTATTGATCGACTTGGCCGTCAAGACACCGTAAGTGTCGACAGACTTAAAGCGGCCTACATTGAAGAATCTCTACCCCTCACGTCTACACAACCAGCAACTACGCCCGCACCCACACCCCAGCCAAGTGTTATTGTCCAAAATCCTACTAAGCCTAGCAGTTCTCTGGATGAGACATGTGAAGCACCGGATACGCGCTCTGGTCGGCGTGTACACTGGCCTGAACGATACTGTGAATTGGTTAACTAAACGTTTTTAATTACAAGAGTAACTCATACCTTCATGTCTTTTCTCACGTTACATTGATTTTTCATGATATTTACTCTTTTTGGGTTTCGTTTGTGGGCAGTAGCCACTTTTTCATTTACTAATCCTGTTAGATTTAATAATAATAATTTCTTTCTCGTTACAGTGTTTTAACATTTTATTTTTGGCTTTGCACTCGAACCGCTAACTAGACCAGTCCATTCCATTGTCGTATAGTGACTCCCACCACTCGTGGAATTACAAACCAATCGTACAAAAATATGGACCCGATAAAAAAATAATAAAATGTAAAAACAAAAACTTTCACTGTATAGTTAAACGGACCGTTAAATATTTTTGCATATAAATAAGTCACTTCTATGCTGTACATTTTAACCCGCTCAATCTATTTTCACAGATTTTACTATTTTTATTCGAGTTATGCCATGACGAAACTTATTTATTTTGTGACCCATACTTGTAATTACCTTGCATCACTTTAATTATACAGTTCGCTACATTTTTTTAACAAACAAATGGTGATTGTACTTATTCATAGCTATTGGTTGTACACACACTTCACTGTACCTTGCATAAGTTAACAATTTCCCTTGTTTTATTTCAATTTGGCGTACAACTCCCATGTTACACTAGTTCCTTCGCATTTATTCCTCCTAAGTTCTTGTTAACACCTTATGCTGATTTTTAAATCTTAACCTCTTCTTCTATTCTTTTCTGTTGCTTTTACTTTATTCCTCCTAATACGCTGGTATATTGATTGCCTTTGGTGTTACTACTAGTTTTAGTTGATGAAGAAGGATGGAGCATTAGTCTAAGAGGAAACTTAGACATAATGAGCCACCTTCCCGTTATAACAACGTGGGTAACGGAGGTAAACCATCACACCTCCACATAACCCAGTCCGTAATAGTATGTCGTAAAAAAACTAAATAAATAAATAAAATAAAAAATAAAAAAGATAAGTATAAATAAACGATGTTAAAAAATATATATAAAAAAATAAAAAATCGCACCAAGGCACCAGCGTTATTCCTTCTTATGTTCCATCTTACTCCATTGATCATGTACATAGCGCTCATAAATTGCCTTAATTTTTTTCCTTCATTCTTTCCTTTCTCAACATATTTTTTTTTAAAAGAAAAAGAGAAACAACTATTTTATTACTATCTTCACATTTTCTTGTCCATTCACTGTTATTGTACGTCACCTTGTTACTTTTATATATCGAAGCTTGCTGTTATCCCACCAACCTTCTAAGGGGGGGATAACCTGTAGTGTACATTGTACCTTTGAACTTTTGTTTGAATGAACTCAACCTGACCTTTAACCCCACTTCCACTTCCGCTTTGTACTCCGGTTCCTCCTGTACGGTTACTGTCTCGCTCTCTCGCTGTACTTTCACCCAGTACACTCTACGAGCCGACAACCGTCTCACCTCCAGATAAGTGTGTACTTTTTATTTCTTACCAGATTCCATATCTCTTTGTGTAAATACAATTCCGGTCCAGTTACACTTGCCATTTCGAGTCTTTTAACTTTGATTCCGTTCTTTAGTACTTGCACGTAGGCAGAGTACTATTTAAGGTCGTAAACGGTGAAGGAGTTTGTAAGAGCGGTTATTGTTAGGTCGAAGTAAATTCTAAGACCAACACCTATAATACGTCATTTGGACGCAGTCCTTGTGTCGTTGCATGGTTGTTCAGCCTTCGTTTAAATCTGTCCACAGACGGCGCCGTAGCTTTATCCACCGATGAGGAGTTCCCGGGACGGCAAACCCTCAGTGAAAGAAGTGGGAGCGCCCCAGAGTCCTTGCCCTCTGGTGAGCTAACATTCGTGGACTGCCATGATGGAGCCCACAATACTTGATGGCAGAACACCTTTGTTCGGGTGATTCTGGTCATTTGTTATCTTGTAGGCTGTAATCAAGTCCCATCTAAGCCGGCGGTACCTAAGTGTGAAGCGACCTAATTTCTTTAGCCATTCATCATACGGTTTATTTCGGAGACCCACCACTCCTCTTGTCGCCCGTCTTTCGGCTCTTTCCAAGAGGTTTGTGTCTCCTATAATCAGCAGAGGTGTAATGATATTGTGCACTTCAACGTGGGGTCTGAAGTATGTTTTGTGCAACCTTAGAAAGAGCTCAGGAGTGAGTGCATTCAAATGTCTATGTATAAGGTGTATGATCGCATATGCCCTCGCTACATCCCCCGTGTAATTCACGTTTGTGCCCATTTTTTCCGTTAGAACTAGACATAAGTCAAGCTCCACCACTGCGCAGCACAACCTCTCCTTCCATAGGGCGTAACCTGAATTATGCAGTCTAAAGGTGCATAATTTCACTATTTGCACCTTTTCAAGTTGAAAGTCATACCATTAGCCACCGCCCAGCCTTCCAGCAGATTTAGGTCTACTTGCAGCCTATCTGAGTCTTCCGAACACTTTATTGCTTTCCGTATCTTTAATTCGTCGGCGTAAAGAGTCGGGCAGCTCAGATGGCATGTGAGGTCATTGATAAAAATCAGAAACGTCAATGGCCCTAGGATAGAACCCTGCGACATTCATGATGACAGGCCGTACCAAGATGATCGGACTCGATTGACCCAAGTGCAGAATTTCCTTTCAGCCAGAAAGTCCCTCAACCATGGCATAAACGGCTCATGTATACCTGCCTGACGTAGGGGAAGGTCACGGTGAACTGTGTCAAATGCCTTTGCGAAGTCTAGGAAGACCACATGGATTGGAATATTCATGTCCCACCATAATGTTCAATCGTTCCAAGCTGATAGTAGGTTTGTTATACAGGATCTACCCTTCCTGAAACCATGTTGTGCTTCATAGAGTCTATTAGTCCTATTGAGGTGCTCTCTGATGTGATCATCAATAATACTTTTCAGTACTTTTGTTGCCACTGGGATTAGTGCTACTGGTGTATAACTGGTGGCATTTTGCCCATGCCCACCCTTGAAAATGGGAGGAAGGATGGCTCTTCTCCATTCCCTTGGCAGTTTCCCCGAATCCATCGAATGTTGAACCAAGTCGCATAAGGACCTACAGAGAGCTTCGGCTCACAGTTTTAGAACAAATGGCCCAATTTCGTCACAACCTGGGGATTTTCCAGATGTGAGTTTCTGTAACTTACCCAGTACTTTCCTAGTACTACTATTATTCAGAGAGTAGCCACCAGGTTCGCCTCCGGTGAAGTAGTAAAGCCGCCATTTCGGTCCGAACCAGTAATAACTACACTGCCGTTTAGCATTTCGGCAAAGGCAACTGAATATTCCAGTTGTCTCCAGACTAACGAGATATCGACCGTTTGAACCTACTACGGCACGTGCTCCCTGGTTGGTTTTCTCTCCGAAATGAATCAGTACTGGCTTTTGGCAAGGATAGCTTGAAATAACATGACTCCTGACTCTCACGTTGCACCAGTTCCCGATTTCCAGGTAGGCATCGTGGTCGGTCTGACTCTTGCATACTCACCACGTAGAACTAGCCTTCCGCTTTGTTTGCAGAATACGTCGCGTACCTCTCTTCAGCCATGAGGACCTTTATTCGGCTGTGTTGTGATTAAAGGGACAGTTTCTGAGATTGCTGTGTGGATAATCCCTTTAATCACTTCCCAGTGTTCATCTACAGACAATCCAATCCATTCTAATGGCCATTCGGCGTTGGACAAAAGCCTCTGCATTTCAGCATAGTCCTCCTTGTTATAACACAGACATGGTCACATAGAGTCCCACTGTAAGGACTCACGAAGAATAAGTCACCGCTTCCTAGTGGTGCCATGACTTGGGCCTTTTCGACGAGTATTTCGTCACTAGCTAGGATATAATCTAGTTTCGATGACTTTCCACTAGGTCCCCAACTAGTGTCGTCTCCAACATTCTCAGTCAGTCCTGCACTTTCAGTGGTTTGCAATAGGCTCAGACCAAGATTTCCCTCAGCATACCCCGGGAGTTGAGATCCCCAGCTTTGGTGATTTGGTCATAGCCCAACTCCCGTATGCCTGTGATGGTTCTGAGCAGTATGTGGTTGTCCCCTGCCCCACAGGTGGGTGGTCGGTAGGTGCCGCCCACTAAAGATTTGGTGTGGCCTACGGTGAAATGACGACATAAGGAGTCTGGGAGTTCAGTAAGTTGTAGGTCTGTTGCACGTACATGTTAAGCTGCTTGACAAAGTAAATAGCAACTCTCCGTTTCTTGTTATCCCTGTCTCTCCTGACCATAACCACATCACTTATACTGATTTCGTTGTCGGTGATAGTGCGGTTAGCCAGGTTGCAGTAAAGATGATTATTTTAAGGTGTAGGTGTGACTGAAGGTTCCTAAGTTCATTTACTTTTCCTCTCACCCATCTTACATTGTTCTGTAGACAGCTGACAGTGAGCCTCACAGCCTCAGCGTGTTGTGGGGGAGTTGACTTAACGCTATCTGCTTCTAGGGGCCTTGGTATTGGTACTAGTTGACCGATTCTGATGCAACCGTCCCACTATCGTTTTTTTCCTTGGACTCGGATAGGACACTTGGGTGACACTGACTGTTATTCTCAGCACTGCATCTCTCTAGTGTCACTGAGGCTTGGGGACGTATTAAGACCTCAGTTTATTGCCTCCTTATTGTTTGACGTCTGCCTCCGCAGCATCGGGTGTGTCCTCCCATTTTACCCTTAGTCTTGTACCACCGTTGAAGTACTACGACCAACTGTTCCCGGGAGTTGAGTTTTACTTTTAGCAGCCTTGGAAAGCTAATCAGTGTGAGATAAGCGAGTGAGGTAGCCGGAAAAGCGAGATTGCCCTAGAAGCAGCAAGGGCCACCTGAGATGACAGCCATTTCCGTGTGTTTTCGCAAGCGGTGCCAGTTTCCAGTTACGGAACACCGTGCATGACCATAGAGGTAAAGGGCATCGGCTCTGCTGACTTCCTCACCATTTGCCTGTTAGCCCGAGGCCTATTATGCCTTATTCTGGTGTTGAAACTCCTGTCAACAGTAAATACTTGAGCCAGTAACGGTATTCTTACAGTCTCTTCGGTAGAGCCAAGTGTCACTGTTGATGGAGGTGGCTTACCCTGAGGTGCCTGAACACCCCTGTACAGCCTGCAAAATTTTGCTGCACTGATTTTCAGACCTAATTTATTGCACAGACTCGACCACTGTTCCTGAACAAACAGTGCCCTTTGTTCAAGCAAACTATCGTTGCATACTGGTGTATTAAACAGGACAAGGAACTTCGATCGACTGAACTCAGGCGTAGGTTTGGCTTTTGGCTGGCCAGGCAAATGAAATTAAAATCATGAATAAGATATGTTCAATGAACCGCTTCAACTTGATATGATTGTGAGCAATAGTTTGTGCTCGAAACGTCATCAGTTAATTTAACTGTACAACACTGTGTGCTATATCAAAATAAAATCTTAACCATTATGGAGTTATACTCTACCACAGTGCCCAAGTTTTATACTTAAACCGTTTCGATGCTTGGGTGAAGAAAAGCTCTGGGTGAGGCTAACCTGATATAGGAGATATTGACCATGGTGAGAGTTAGATCAGAATAATTTCGTGTTAGGGTCAGGTCGAGGAAAGATTATAGCTAAGGCTTGTTCAAGAGAATTAGACGAATACATATACAGAATATGGAATATTTACTATATTGACACTCATCCAAGAATGAAGAATTCATCAAACATCAGAGAATGGTATCCTGTGTAACACATACATGCTTTTTATTTATTATTCTCTTAAACGTAGGTATTATGCGTGAAAATCACCTTTATCTTGTGTTTGATGCGTTCAAGGTTGTTTGATGTTTAGCAAACCAATAGAAATCGAGCCAGCCAGAAACAACTGAAAGCTGACTGTAGTTATTTACTCACTGTTGTAAGTTTTGCAGATGGCCTTTCTTGCTTCAGATCTATATCTAAAAAACGTATAAAAGTATGTTTCGTTCCAATGTATGCTTAAGTGCACTTAACTAACATGCACACGTGTGCCAACACATTTGCGTGTTAGTATGGTTGCTGATAATTATTGTTCACGTTCATTTTGATGATCTTTTGCTTCATCCACCACATGTACTATACTCCATGAATTTTTGGATGATGAGTTATTACTAAAATCATGCCGAAATGATACGTACGATTTGCCACACAAACTTTCCTTGTGCATTGACTGCATTGCTTTCGTACGAACAGGTATAATGTTCCTCACTGTTTACGCACATGCGTAAAAATGTCTTCGAAATTGTTTCTCATTTGGATGATGTTACTGTAAGTAGAAAGTACAGGATCCCGTTCTTGGCAATTTTCTTGCAAAAAATACTAATTGGCTAGTCTTCAACGTTGTGGGGGAAAATTCTACCAAAATTTGGTCTTTCGTCTCAGGTGGCACTTTCTTCGTGTCCACCACAGACATTTCGGGATAAAAACTGAAGGCGCATTTAAGAAAGTGGGATAGTTGTCTGGAGAGAAGCCGAAGTCTGTCTCGGAGTGCCTACAGTGCTCCAGAAATTTGTCCCGTAGATCTGCAGCGTGCCCGAAGTATTCTTCATAGTTTCTGAAATGCTCCCAAAGTCAGCTTTAGCTGGCTTAGAGATTCGTCTACAATAGGTGTTGTTGAATGTGAAGTATGCATCTGTGGCATGTCTTAGAGATAGTTCCTTGAGGATAATTGGCGGAATTCAGAAATCAACCTACTTTTCCAGTGTACTATTGATATAAGTATAAAACTTGGGCACTGTGGTGGGGTGTAACTCCATTATGGATAAGATTTTATTTTGATAAATCACACACTGTTATACAGTAATATTAACTGACGACCACTTTTCGAGCACAAACTATTGCCACTCATAATCATATCAAGTCACTCACTCACACAACTTTTTTCCTTCATTTATATACATGTGTGGAATTGATGATTGGACAGATTCAGATTCAGATTATAAGAATAGAAGGCTCTTGTTGCCTATGTTAATCCTCGCGATATATATCTCTGCAGAGATCCAGTTTCTCTTTGAAAGCGTCCACCGATGGAGCTGTTACTACTGAATCAGGTAAGGAGTTCCAGTCGTTGACCACTCTGTGAGAGAATCTAAACTCCAAACGTATTTCATTCGACCTTGGTTTGAGCACCTTCTTCTGGTGACCCCGTAAATGTATTCTAGAGGGAGAGAAAAGGTTTGAAAGGTCAATCCCTAAATCACCCTTGAATATACGGTAAGCCAAAATTAAGTCGCCTCTCCTCCTTCGGTATGATAATGGGAAGAGATTTAAATGCTCCATCCTCTTATCATAAGGAAGGTGTGAGATACCACTAACTAATTTTGTTCCTACCCTCTGTACTCTTTCCAGGGTATGTGCCTCCTTTTTGAAGAATGGACTCGCCGCTTGTATGCAGTACTCTAGATGAGGCCTGACATATGTTGCATATAGTACTTGGAACATACCCTCGTCTAATCGTTTGAAAGATCTTCGAAGTGCCCATAGCATTCGAAAAGCCTTAGCTGCGGCTCGATTACAGTTCGCCGTTGTTTTTAAGTCATGGCTAACAATAATTCCTAAGTCCTTTTGTTCCCTAACATCTGGCAGTTCTGTGTCCCCCATGGAGTACGTGTAAGACTTCTGACCTAGGTGCATTACCGCGCTTTTCTTGGAATTAATTTCCATTTGAATAAGAATCAATATGAGATAATGTACATTCAGAGATAATAATATGAGTGTTTCTAGTGTACGCTGGCACACAAATTCTACTGTGGCTAGTAGCAGTATGTTGGTGAACAGTGGTTATATCGTACATTTCCCATTTACATTAACGTCTCTTATTTGCAATGTGTTTTTCATGGAATTTGTAAGGGTATGAAATAAACTACTTTATAGTTCTATGTTAGACGGAATTAGGCGCACCTAAAGCTGAATAAGACGGTAATTCTGGTACATGTACTGTAAGCACACCACACAGTCATGATGTGTCACTTTCAATAGGTTTAATAGAGTTATTCGCAGTCTTTGAGATAATCTTTTTTCCTTTACTCCAGAGATGGTGTAGACGTGATGTCCGGCTGGCTATCGACCAATGGGCGTGTGTACGGCTCAGCGTTCACCCTGTCCTCCTTTATGCCTGTGAGACATGGCCATAGAAAGTGGGAGATACGAAAAGGCTGGCTAACTGTCTTTGATCATAGGTGCCTGAGTTCTATTTCCCGTGTTAAGTGGTAAATAAGGTGAGTGTGTTGGGTAAGAAGGGAAAGTCAATTGACGAGGCTATGAAGTTGCACTGATTGAGATGGTTAAGACATGTGTTACACATGACTAGCCATCCATCGCCTTCCTTGAAGACGGGCAATGTTAGCTGACATAGGATGGATCAGATTGGGAGAGAGCCAATGGTGATTCAACCAAAACATGACATAAGTTAATGAAATTCACTACGGTTAGTTTAAGCTACGTCAGGAGGTGTAGACTTCCTGGGTCGGGTCCTCAGGATAGTAAAAACTAATGAAGGCTGGAGATAATTGGTGATATGACTGAAAATTGTTCGCAGTGGCGCAGATGCACTCTCTGTGATTTACAATATCCAATAAAACTCTGTTTCTTTCGTATTGCTATTCTTTTTGCCTCATATTTCCGTTTATTATCTCTATTGAATCTCTCTTTACTCTCTTCTCTTGCTTTGTGTGCTACAAGGAGGGAGTGTGGCAACTCGAACTGGTGCACATCTGTGCAAAGTTCTACGTTGAAACCAGTCAGTCTTTTTCGTTCCAGTTGCTCGAAAGTGTTCAATATCTACACTTTTTCGTCTTTCCATTTAAGCCTTATTGGATTGCTAGGATTTTGGAATTTTGTTTTGTCACTTAGAAGCGAATTTATTTTTTGTTTGCATACTTTTTGTATTTTCTAGTAATATTTTCATCATTTCTTAGATTATTTGAAGTTTCTCGGCTTGTGTTTTGTGAGTAATGCTATTGGTAGAATACCTGCTGTTTGTAAACTATTCTCAGGTGTCGATTAGTGTAGTTTTAAACCTGACAACTTCATCTTTAGCTTGTAATAAAAAGTTTTTAAAATTAACATTGTGGATGATAAAAATGATACTTTTTAGGTGTTCAATTAAAGAGAAGAGTAGATGGTTCTCTCAGAATAGATGCTAATAGGAAGACCTGACTGACTGACTGGTTTCAACGTAGAACTTTGCACCGATGTGCAGCAGTTCAAGTCGCCACACTCCACTTAGCACACAAAGCAAGAGAAGAAAGTAAAAAGAAATGCAGAACAGAGACAGTAAACAGAGATATGAGGCAAAAAGAATGGTAATAACGAAGAACAATATAGTTTTATTGGAAATAATAAATCACAAGGAGTGGATGCATCTGCGCCAGGCATTGAGGACGATTTTCAGCCATATCGCCAATTGTATCCAGCCTTTATTGGTTATTACTGTCCCGAAGACCCCAACCAGGAAGTCTACACCTCCCTAAGTGGTTGTCTTAAACTAACTGTTGTGGATTTACTTCATTGACTGATGAAGCCATGTTTTGGTTTGACTACCACAAGCTGTTCTCCAACCTGATCCATCCTATGTCAGCCTGTCGTCGAGGAAGGCGATGTAACTTCACAGCTTCGTCTATTGATTTCCCCTCCCAACTACCTAGCACTCGACGCCTAACCTCATTATTGCTCATCTTATTATACCACTTAACACGGGAGATGGAACTCAGACACCTATGATCAAAGACAGCTAGCTGGCCTTTCCATGTCTTCCACTTTCAATGGCCATGTCTCACTCAAAGGCATAAAGGAGGACAGAATGAACTGTTGAGCAGTACACACGTCCTTTGGTTTATAGCCTGCCATATATCAAACTTTGTTAAATACGAGCTGACTGATTTCAACATAGAACTCTGCACATAAGTGCACCATTTCAACTTGCTACATTCCACCTACCACACAAAGAAGGGTAAAAGAGATTCGAAAGGAAAATACTAAGCAAAAATGTTAGGAAGAAGAAAGAATAGTAACATAGAAAGAACAATAGGGCTTTATTGGAAATGGCAGATCACAAAGAGTGTGAATACATTTGCGTCATCATCGAGAATGATTTTGAGCCATATCATCAGCAGTTGTCTCCAGCCTTCATTGGTTCTTAGCGTCACGAGGATCCCAACCAGACTGGCAGTCTACGCTTCACTACGTGGCTGACTCCAACTGTCTGTTGAAATAACAGTTATGATTTCATGTACTGAGGCCATTTTGGTTTGACCACCACCACCACTGCTGTCCAACCTGATGGTATGTCAAGCAACGTTGCTCTCTGAGGAAGGCGATGGCTAGGCGGCATGTGTGACACATGTCCTAACCATCTCAATCGATACAGCTGTTTCACATCCTCGTCGATTGACTTTCCCTCCTTACCCAACACACTCGACGCCTAACCATCTCAATATTACTCACTCTACTATACCTGCCCATCTAACATGGGAGATTGAGCGCAGACACATATGATCAAAGGCAGCTAGCCGGCCTCTTTATGTCTCCCAGTTTCAACAGCCACGTCTCACAACTATGCAGTACACAGTTGTTATCTAGAATTTCAATGATGATTACCCAGGCAAACTTTCTGTCTAGGTTAACAGGATTACATCAGTGTCAACCGCTTGAGCTGCATATCTTCTGCTAGTCTCTTGTTACATAAATAGCTTCATTTATTGAGTCTTTCTCTTCTATTTTGTATTTTATTTTATAGATTTTACTCCTAAAATGAATGACCTTCAATATGAGGTTAGTTTAATTTCACCATTTCATATAACTTATCATATAGATTATTGTTCAAGAAGTTGTTCAAAGTGAATTGAGACAAACAGTATCCTCTCAGGTGAGAGTCGTGTAGTGATTATCGTTATTTATTATTATTATTATGTTTCATTATGGAGAAAATTTTATTTTGAGAAAGTCTCACAGCGTGTTATACAGTAATATTTATTACTGCTCGTAATCAAGATACTACTCACACAACTTTCCGACTTCATTTATATAATTCCATTGTTTCTCACCTCGTGATTTGATTGGTAGCAATATCTTTTCCATATCTCTGGTATTAGTGATGAGTCATTTCTATTGCATGTGTTGGGTGTAGACTCGATGAACCAGGACTGAGCAGTCAATCTCTTTTTCCACTTACCTATATTACTTTTTAGAGTTTTGACTCTGTTCCACCCTGCTGTGTGGTTACGTGTTAATGCATGCAGTGCAATTGGCGATTACTTCTCTAAATTACTTATCGTCGCGGAGTCAGTCATTCTACACTTAGCTAAATTCATATGTCGGTCGGTCGGTTTTCGACATAGAACTTTGCACCGATGTGCGGCAGTTCAAGTCGCCACACTCCATGTGGCACACAAAGCAAGAGAAGAAAGTAGAAGAAATGCATAATATAGACAGTAAACAGAGGTGTGAGACAAAGGTATAGTAATAACGAAGAACAAATCAGTTTAATTGGAAATCATAAGTCACAAGGAGTGGATGCATCTGCGCCAGCCATTGAGAACGATTTTGAGCCATATCACCAATTGTTTCCAACCATTGGTTTTTACCGTCCCGAGGACCCTAACCAGGAAGTCTACACCTTCCTACGTGGCTTAAACTAACTGTGGTAGATTTCATTGATTGGTGCCATGTTTTCGTTTGACCACCGCTAGCTCTTTTCCAGCCTGACCCTATATCAGCTAACATTGCCCATTGTCGAGGAAGGCGATGACTAGGTATACGTAACACATGTCCTGACCATCTCAGTCAATGTAATTTCACAGTCTCGTCGATTGATTTCCCCGCCTTACCTAGCACTCGACGCCTAACCTCAATATTGCTCACCTTATTATACCACTTCACACGGGAGATAGAACGCAGACACCTATGATCGAAGACAGCTAATCTTTTCATGTCTTCCACTCTCAATGGCCAGGTCTCACAGTCAGCCGTAAAGGAGGACGGAGCGGACTGATGAGCAGTATACACGCCCTTTGATCGATAGTCGGATATCACGTCTACGCCAGAGACGGCGTATGTTCTAATAATATAAATACCTGCGATCTACTGGTTTGACCTATGTAGTTGATCTCACACACAGGTATTGCAAGTTATTTTGTAAATGATATTATTTTGTTTAATTGAGTCAACCTACAGAGCTTGTCCTATCTGAATGAACTTGTATGTTTGACTGCCACTCTAATTCCGGCTTTATTGAGAATCCCATGTAAGGTCTCACATGTCCCTTCCTTATGTGGTAAAACTGTAGATACCTTGCATTCTTTCTTATTTATGTAATCATTATTAGTTTCACCATAATTTTTATTTTGCTTTTGACGTTTTCTGATCTTCCTAATGAATTTTAGAGGATAGTTATTTAACACCAACGCTTTCTCTTCTTCTATCTGTTTCATTTCATCATTTAGGTTTTTTGTTGTACTACTTAGTGTTGTTATTGTTCAGTTTGTTAGACACTTATAATTAAGCCTACCTTTGTTGGTATTAGATGGTTGGAGGCAATCGGCCAAAGGAAGCCTTGCTTGACCTAGGTTTCGTGCTAGTTGGCACTCACTGGTCAGTAAGGCGTATCTGCAACCCCTGAAGGAACTCATGTCCCTTCTGAGATTCGAACCCGATTGCCCCTCCAACCATCTAACATCATCAAATCAATGTGCACGGTGATTGATGGACAGCCATCTGGTGGTATAGTGGCCACATTGCAAGCTTGACTGATAGAATTCAGTCTACACCATCGCAAAGGACTAGACACATTAAACTAGTTACTGACTAGTGTTCAATCAAAAATAAGCTTGCCTTTACAGATAACGACGGATGAGAGGAATTGAAGTCTAAATATCTATTAGTAGAATGTGTTGGCTTTTTATAAACGCTAGTGTGTGTGTGTGTGTACAGTTTACCCTCTTCTGTTCGTTTATTGCTGAATCTTTGTTCATAGAATCTACACCCAACACATGCAACAGAAATGATTCAGCAAAAATACCAGAGATATGGAAAACAACACCTTGAGCAGCAATCTTCGTATGTTTGACATGCGATTCGCCCCTGTAAAATGTAAGATGCTGCTACAGGACTGGACTACGTCAACTCCTAGCTTAGTGATAGGGAGTGAAGTGATAGAACATGTTGACCACTTCACCTATTTGGGAAGTTGTATCAGCACCAACGGATTGATTGGTGACGAAATCTCAGCACGGATCCAAAAAGTTCGAGCTGCTTTCGCTAACTTACACCATCTCTGGCGTAGGCGTGACATCCGACTATCAACCAAGGGACGTGTGTACTGCTCAGCAGTTCGCTCCGTCCTTCTCTATGCCTCTGAAACATGGCCAATACGAGTTGAAGACATGAAAAGGTTGACTGTTTTTGATCATAGATGTCTACGATCTCTTTCTCACGTAAGGTGGTATAATAAAGTAAGTAATGTTGACGTTAGGCGTAGAGTGTTGGGCAAAGAGGGAAAATCAATCGACGAGGCTATAAAGTTACATAGATTGAGATGGCTAGGTCATGTGCTGCGCATGCCTAACCATCGCCTCCCCCGACGGACGGGCATTACTAGCTGATATAGGTGCAGGTTGGAAAAGAGTAAGTGGTGGCCAAACAAAACATGGCATCAATCAATCCATGAAATCCTTGACAGTTAAACTGAGTCAGGTAGGAGGGAGATGCAGACTTCCGGGTTGGGGCCCGCCCTCGGGACTCTAAGAATCAATGGCTGGAGACAATAGGTGACATGGCTCAAAATCGTTGTCAATGGCTTACGCAGATGTATTCAGTCTCTGTAATCTTCATTCATATTCCTTTCTACCATTACTCATTCTGTTTCACTCTTATACTTGTCAAACTCTATTGATTCTCTTCACTCATCTTCTTGTCTACCTTTGTGTGCTATTTGGAAGGTGGCAACTCGAAGTGCTGCACTTCGGTGCCAAGTTCTATGTTGAATCCAGACAGACAGACAGATATGGAAAATATTACTACCAGTCATCAAATCAAGAGATGAGAATTAGTGGAACGGTATAAATGAAGTTGGAAAGTTGTATGAGTAGTGTCTTGATATGATTATAAGCAGTAATAAATTGTCCGCGAAACGTCGTGATCAATAAATATTACTGTATACCATCACTGTGAAACTTTATCAAAATAAAATTTTCTCTCTATTGGAATTATACTCTAACACAGTGCTCAATTTTTTATTCTTATATTATTATGTTATCTAGCCTATATATGAACGTTTTGGTGGTAATATATTTCTCCCCGCCTCTCGTACAAAAGTTTTAATGACCTGTGAAGGTAGGTATGAAAAAACAAAACAACTTTGAAATGCTTTCCTTTATTTATCTAGAAAAACTTAAAAAATTACGTGATCAATCGTTAAAATTGAAAGCTGACAAGAGTTGAATTATTTTTGTTGTTGTTTTTTTTTTGTTTTTTACAATTTCTTGATAACTAATTTGTACAGATAAATATTTTCGAGAAAAACTATCTTACTACTTATATAAAAACAAGAGTATATAAAACACAAATAAAAATTATTTGAAATATGTTTGTTTTATATTTTTAGTTGTACTAATAATGAGTACTTTTAGACTGCCTTCTTTATGGCTGTGAATGAGACATGGTCATTGAAAGGGTGGAAGACATGTGAAAAGGTCGGCTAGCTGTCTTTGATCAAAGGTGCCTGCGTTCTATCTCCCATGTGTGTTAGGTGGGTAGGTATAATAGGGTGAGTAATATTGAGGTGGTTAGGCATTGAGTGTGTTGGGTAAGGAGGGTAAGTCAATTGATGAGGTTGTGAAGCTGCATTGATTGAGAGATGGTCGGTACACACGTGTTACGTGTGCGAATCCATCACATTCGATTCCGTTGACTCTGAGGTACTATGGCGATGTTTGGCTGTGAAAGGAATGCCGAGACAAAATACATCGCAATGATCAAGGCATTCTCTATTCGAACTCATGCAGTCAGTCAGGTGAGAGGGTATGGAGAGTTGTCATCTGAAGTGGTGACAACCAGTGGTGTCCATCATGAATGCTCATTGTTCCCATTTCATCATTGAGTATATAGAATACCCTAATGCTGACTTCAGCGACTTGGAATATGAAGATGTTATAGTGCTTCTAGGGGTGGAGACGCTGACAAAGTGCGGAGTCTTATGAACACCTTGAGGAGCAGCAATATTCGAATGTTTGATGTGCGACTTGTTCCTGTCAAATGTAAGATGATGCTATAGGACTGCACTATATCGACTCATAGCTTAAAATAGGGAGTGAAGTGGTTGATAGAGCGTGTTGATGACTTCACTTATTTGGGAAGTTGTATCAGCCCCAGCGGGTTGATCACTGACGAAATATTAGCATGGATATAGAAGGCTCTTTCGGCATTTGCCAACTGACGCCATCTCTGGCTTGGTAGACGTGATATTCCGTTGGCTGTCGACGAAAGGGCGTGTGTACTGCTCAGCAGTTCGCTCTGTCTTCCTTTGTAGCTGTGAGTGGGACATGGCCATTGAAAGTGGGAGATATGAAAAGGCCGCCTAGTTGTCTTTGGTCATACATGTTTGCGTTTTATCTCCCGTGTCAGGTGGTATGATAGGGTGAGCAGTATAGAGGATAGGCGTCGAATGCTAGGTAGGTGGGTAGGGTAATCAATCAAACATGTTGCTAAGTTACGGCGATTGACATGCTTAGGACTTGTTTTACGCATGCCCATCATTCCATGGCCTTCTTCGACGGCGAATGTTAAGTGACATAGGATCGATGAGGCTGGAAAAGAGCTAGTGGTGATCAAACCAAAGCATGGCTGCATCAGCCAATGAAGTAAATCCACAACAGTTAGTTTAAGCCATGTAGGGGGGTGTAGACTTCCTGGTTGAGGTATTCGGGATGGTAAAAACCAATGAAGGCTGGAGACAATTGGTGATGATATGGCTGAAAATCGTTCTCAGTGGCTGGCTGAGATGCCTTCACTCTTCGTGATTTATAATATCCAGTAAACCGTCATGTTTTGAGATGTTAATATTCTTTCTTCCTCACATTCCTTCTGATTATCGTCCTTCCGAATCTTTTGTCTTCCATTGCGTAGTGCATGGAATGTGGCAATTTCAACTGCTACGCATCTGTGCAACACTTCTATGTTGAAACCAGTTAGTCAGTCAGTCAGTTCTTATTGCCTATGTGTATTCATGTGCAAGTTACTTCGTTATCTAATGATTAAGTTAACTGAACTTTGTACAGAATTACATCTCATCTGTCTACATGCCCTATGGCGAATCCGAATTTTAATCTGTGCTTATTTACGTATAAAATAGGCTAGTATTTACTTTCGTCATAATAGTTTTTATCTTGAGTTAATTTTTAAGAGTTTGTTTGTAGGGATTTGATACTTTTACAAGTTTGACCATGCACCGATTGATATCAATTAGAGAACCATTGAACAAACCAACAGGAAGTACTGCCTAGCAAGCTGTTTCGTCTTAGTTTGGGACTCATCATAAGGATGAACCCACCTGGGTTCGAACCCCATTTCCCTAACTTACATCAATCCGTCATCAAACTTGAAACAAGCCAAAATAAGGTGAGCAATATTGAGGAGGGGAAATCAATCGACGAGGCTGTGAAATTACATCGACTGAGATGGTTAGGACATGTGTTACGTATGCCTAGTCATCGCCTTCCTCGACGGGCAATGTTAGCTGATATAGGGTCAGGCTGGAAAAGAGCTAGCGGCGGTCAAACCAAAACATGGCCTCATCAGTCAATGAAATTTATAACAGTTAGTCTAGGCCACGTAGGAAGGTGTAGACTTCCTGGTTGGGGTCCTCGGGACGGTAAAAACCAATGAAGGTTGGAAACAATTGGTGATATGGCTCAAAATCGTTCTCAATGGCTGACGCAGATGCATCCACTCCTTGTGACTTATGATTTCCAATTAAACTGATTTGTTCTTCGTTATTACTATACCTTTGTCTCACACCTCTGTTTACTGTCTATATTATGCATTTCTCCTACTTTCTTCTGTTGCTTTGTGTGCTACATGGTGTGTGGCGACTTGAACTGCCGCACATCAGTGCAAAGTTCTATGTCGAAAACAGACAGACAGACAAACAAAACCCCCTAGAGATTAACTCTTGAGAATTAATCTGATACTAACTGGTCACTGGCAACGAGACAAAGTTGACTGGAGTGAGTTCTCTAGAGAGAAGTCGTGACCAATGAGGTGAGGAGTGAGGACAAAAACTCGTCTATGCCATTGTCAGTAGCGCCTAAGATTACCAGTTGGTGGAAGTTAGAATTCATGGGTCAAATATTGGGTCCCAGTGGCTGTGAATGGTCTGTGAGCACTCGCATTGTAACCGGAAGGTCATGGGTTCCATCCCTGGTGGGTGGGTGAGTACTTTTGATGATTCCCAAACTAGGACGAAACAGCTGTGTGTGTGTGTGTGCAGTACTCCCTAGTTAGTTTCCAATGGTTATTTAACTGATACCATTCCGTGATCAAACTTTGAGATAGTTTTTGTTAATATATTAACCACATAATTTGTAAATGGTTGCAGTGATCTTTGATTACAGTAATTGTCAGTCATTAAGTCCAAGGCTCTGAACTACACACCGTACCTACCTTTCTGAGTAGTGGTTTACTGTTCAAAACTATAAAGTTAGTTGTCACTTGTGACTTTTAATCGTCGCACTTCGAGCTGAAATCCTACTTCTATATATACGAAAACCCGAATACCTCATGATAAGCTCTCGTGTCTTATTATTATTATTATTAATTCCTTTATGTTCCCAGTGGAACACGGGGGGCTTCAATCTAGAGGCTTGAAGTTTCTGTAGCAGTGTGTTTATTTTTACAGGATGGGGTTGCTAGCCTCATGCCCAACCTTTCCTCTTTACCAGCTTTATTTCTGGCTTAGCGAGGTAAAGGAGTGCGTCTGTGGCCGGGGATCGAACCCTGGACCACCTGCGTGGTTGGCGAGCATTCTACCGCTGTGCCATCGACTCGTGGCTTATGCAGTAGCTAAGTAGCCTGAGACAGATATATTCGTATTAGTTAGGCATTACAGTTGTATTACTTAGGAATGTTTACAAACCTGTGACCACTACCCACGTCTTAAGTACTCATGGGAATCTCTTGATGTTGCTTGCTATTTGAATACTAAGCTAACTGATACGATACAATTTGTCATGGGTCATTTTATTAAGTGGTAGTGTGGTGAGAGATGGTTGCTAGCCAAATTGGTAGACAGTAATTGACGTCAATGTTTATGTCTCAAATATTAGTCATGTGAAAACAAGGTCAAAGATGGACAGCAGACTTTGCGTAGGCGGATACAGTTAGCATATAGATAATCTGACACAGCCACAAAGAGATGCAAGGTTAACTTTCTGTGAGAAACAACCAATCAAAAGACTGTATTTTCTACTCGAATTCGTTTGGTTTTGGTTGCTCTATGGCAGCTACAGTTGTGCTCAGCAGCTGTCTGGTCACCTTCGCCAGCTCACTAATATCCATCGGCTGTGTAGCGTTAACCAGTTCTAATTGCTGAGAAATGTGGTCTGGGACACTCGATGAACTGGGAACTCAGCAACTGTGCCTCTGATTCTTCATCCAAAGTGGGAAGCGCACGTCGAAGTAGATTCGTCAATTTCACCGCCAACACTAACGGATCTCCATCACGTCCGAGCTTCGTTGAACGGAACTGCTGCATTGCCAGTTGCATGTCTGTTGGACTGTCGAACTCCGACACCAATCGTTCAACCAATGTCTTCCAAGATGCTGTTCCATCTGACCTCTCTACGCTGTCATATGCCGCCTTCGCTCGGCCTCTCAGCAGCGTCCCCAGCACAACCGCCTTCGCCGCCTGCTCTTTGACACCCATCAACTCAGCAACGGCCTCGAAGTCACGTAAGAAGCTCCTTATGTCTCCTTCTTCAAACGCAGTTGGCCATGGGATCTTCATTGTTCGGAGGCAGCGACACCAATTGTAATGACAGAAGGCAAGAGTCAGGCAACAGATCCTTTATTAAGGAAAATCAACACATATTTATAGATTTTAATGTACATTATTGTTTCTAGAAAATACAGTCTTCTGATTGGTTGTTTTTTCTCTGGAAGTTAACCTTGCATCTCTTTGTGGCTGTGTCAGATCATCTATCTGCTAATTGTATGCGCCTACGCAAAGTCTGCTGTCCATCTTTGACCTTGTTTTCACATGACTAATATTTGAGACATAAACATTGACGTCAATTACTGTCTACCAATTTGGCTAGCAACCATCTCTCACCACAGTAGCATATAAGTGGAGTTTCGTATGTATTGACACTCACCAATATGATGCGTCAGTTGGAGCCTTCTGAGGTGCAAGTGTCAGATTAGTGAGAGAGAGAGATCTGAGTCTTGCGAGCAACGTAGATTTCTTTATCTTCCTTTATGCGGTATATGTATGCACTGTGGGAACTCGAACTTTGTGCAAAGTTCTATGTTGAAACCAAACAGTCAGTCAGACAACTAAAGAAGAAAATGTAGAATCACCCCGAAGAAAACCTCTTCATCATTAATGCGCCTAGATGAGGATTATTCAAAAGATTAAAAATTGAAATATTTATCAAATTTATTTATTGATTTATTTAAAATATCTATGAATATACTTTAAGAAATATATTTATATATAAAATTGTAAAGTGCAAATGAGTGAATACCATTCAGCCATAGACTGACTGATAGGCAGGCGTCGGGGCCGGGCGAAGAGATACACAGAGAGAGAGAGAGATAGCGCGCACTTTTCAAATCAAATAACTCAGAAGTGTGAAATAGAAGGTTGATAAAACAATCCTTGTTGGCAGGAGACAAATAAAAACTTATTACCAAAAAGACAAACAAAAAACAAACATGATAATTAAATGCATTCCCTCATTGAGCAGATGATCGATAATGGTTGCAGTAATTTACAAAGATTCAAAGAAATTTAGCCATATAATAAAAGTAATATACATTTTGAACATAAAACAGAGAAAAAATGCTTTGACTGTTTATTTTTATAAATTTTTTTTAAAGATAAATATTGTTAATAAAATAGTAATAACAATCATATCAGTAGTAAATGAATCAATAAATAAAAAAAGGCAGTAGAGAGAGAGAGTTAAATGGTTCAATGGGATGTTGTTTTATTGAATGTGTTCAATGTTCAATTGTTTTAGGCGGTCGTTTCGAATTACTTTTTACCACTGAGGCAATAATGATGAATTTTGTGAAATAACAATTGTTTTATTTAGCATATAAACTGATGTGATTATTATTTTGTTGTTTAAACTGCATTGGACAGTGATGATGAACTTACAGGACACAACATCGGCAAGTGACAGGAGGTTGGGGTTTGGAGAATTGCTGGAACAAAGTGCCTAAATGTTTTTGGAGATAAACAAATATAGACAATAAAAGGGAACACCTTCATCCTAATTAGTGTTTTATGTGTAAAAGATTGTCGGGGAAAAGATACATAAGAAACTGTACAAAATCTCACTACAATAGTGACGTTGGTCAGTGAGAGGGGTAGGGCGGGTGAGGACTGGCCTACCATTTTGTGGTATCGATAGTAGCAAATAACTGGTGTGTGTGTGTGTGAGCTTATGTGGCAGTAACAGCAGTTTTACAAAATCATAAATAAGGCTAAAAGAGGAGGAGAAGAGACGAGTATAGAGCAGCAATACAAAACAGACAAATAATATTTTAAAAAAAACGACGACTTCAATAGAATAAAGGCCACTTGACTTTGTTTTTGGTGATGTAAGTAAGAGGAGAGAGCTGAAGAAGTTTACAAATTTCACCTGATCACGGTTTACTAGGATTGGCAGTATTACTATTATTGTTCATCAGTAAAGGTGACTGAATTGTAGGTTCACTGGTTAGTTTCTTTTGACCTGCCTAAATAAAAATACATAGAAGAGAAAAAAAGGGGGAAGTAAGGGAAATCCTCCAACCAATCAAACAAAAAATAATAACTACAAAACCAATAATTGAAAAATGACCTGATGCTCACTAGCGACTGGCCCTATTCAGCTGCCTACTGTTTCCGCATAGGATCACTTCAATGTCTGTCTGTTTTTGATATAGAACTTTACACATATGTGCGGCAGTTCAAGTCGCCACACTCTCTCCATGTAGCACACAAAGCAAGAGAAGAAAGTAGGAGAAATGCATAATATAGACAGTAAACAGAGGTGTGAGACAAAGGAGTAGTAATAACGAAGAACAATATAGTTTCATTGGGAAATCATAAGTCACAAGGAGTGGATGCATCTGCGCCAGCCATTGAGAACGATGAGTTTGAGCCATGTCACCAATTGTTTCCAACCATTGGTTTTTACCGTCCCGAGGACACCAACCAGTCAGAAGTCTACATCTTCCTACGTGGCTGGGTTAACTAACTGTTGTGGATTTCATTGACTGGTGCCATGTTTTCGTTTGACCGCCGCTAGCTGTTTTCCAGCCTGACCCTATGTCAGCTAACATTGCCTGTTATCGAGGAAGGCGATGACTAGGCATACGTAACACATGTCCTAACCATCTCAGTCGATGTAATTTCACAGTCTCGTCGATCACTTCAATGTGCTCCTGTAGAGAGTTAGGTAAATAGATTGTTCAGCGGGTGTCCTTTTAAAATGTGTTAGGGAACACTACCCAATATGGCTGCAAAGAGGCTGCACTGGTTTAGTCAGAAGTTTCAGTAGTTGAACACCTGTTATAGCATCTTAATTGGCTACTATTCATCATTGAGAATCAATTACATAGTGAACAAAAATCTACCAAAGACATTCAGTGTGTTTTCGAATTCTTGGTACTAATACTACAGATATGGTCAACTACAAGCTAGCTCGCCCTGTAACCGGAAGGTCGCGGGTTCGAACCCCTTGGTGGCTGGCTGAGTACTATTGAAGAGTCTCAAACTAGGACGAAACAGCTCTCCAGTACTTTATGAAAAAAAAGATTAACCAACAAATAATAAAAATGAATGAAAGAATAAATTACCTGTTGTCTAGCTAAATCATTCAATAATGGATTTGGTCTACCTGAGATACCCAACTGGGCTAAATGAATTAAATCACAGCCTTGTTCAGGTAATGAACTCGCATCAGATTCATCACATGTCCCATCGTTACTACGTACATCGATACCAATATCACTTGAATTATGATGATGATGTTGATCTAATGTCTTTGATGATGACAGTCCTAGCAGCTGATGAGTGTTCAATTGTTGGGATTCTGGTGATAAGTATTGATGCTTATTCGTGTTATTGGTGTTATTGATTGTTCGATTAGCCAAAGATGATGGATGACAAATATCATCTCGTCGAAATGCCGATAAACTGAAATCACTTCCAACATCATCTAGATC